ACTAATAAATCTTGTTAGAATTTCTTGGCTTATCTAATTTTATATCTAGTTTTTTAATATAATTTGTTAACTAGTTCTTTACTTAAACTGCAGATTTTTAAATAGTTGATGGCTCTGAAAATTGTTTGTTTTCCACTGAATTTTGGAATGTTCACATATTTCAATAAAACGTCGTGCTGGTTAACTAAAAGTCGATCTGAATAACTTATCAAACTGTTTTAACTACAACCGAAAGAAAACCGACATTTAGAAAATAGTAAAAATAGAAATTTTTAACTCAACCAGAAACGAAAGAAGCTGCTGAAATTGCATCACTTAAATGAATGCCATACAAGTCAAGAATTGTATGCGGTATAAAATAAATTTGAATAAGAAAGAAAAATACATAAAATCGTTTTCGAAATCTATTGCGTCGGTATATTTTTCACAACATATAGATTCTCGATACAGTGTAACTTTTATTTAATGTTTACAACTATTGGCAAAAAAACGTCAAGGAATAAGAATATTGATAAAAATCATAATTAAAGAAGGACGTGAAATAGATTATTTCTAGGAGTATGTAGTAGTAAAGTAGTAGCTTAGTTACCATGCTGAATGATGTGACGTTTATGGTTTGACACTATCAATATAAAGTTTGATTAAGTCAATATTTTTAACAAATAATATTGAGATAATTAACCCTTCTCTGCCTGACTTTTTATTTTTTGTTACAAATAAGTTTGCAGACTGGATTTTCGTTATTTTTACGAGAAAAAATAATAAAAAAAATTCTGAACTAGTTTTTTTATTTTCGAAAAATACTAGTGTTGTTTATGAACAACATTATGCAGACAATATGCAGACTTAAAACAATGTTTAGGAACAATGAAAATTTTTAAAACAGTTTTCGTTTTAGTGAAGCAAAGTGCTACACCACACTTTTCGCACAACACATGTGTATAGCCATTGCACTGTGGAAATTTGCACCTTCTTTGTTTTTCGGACCATAAAAGCCAATGGTGCATTCCATCCATTCTAACATCCTTTACTGGCATAACCTGTGCTGGGCCTTTCCTTTTCTTTATTTGTAGCGCCTCCTTAGTTTCATTTGCTGAAGGTCTTCCCCTTTTTACAATGGTGAACCGCTCTCCTGTTCTGCATAATGCTTCTACCAGATGTGTTCTAAACTTAGCCTGTGTGACTTTAGGCTTCGCGTCAGTTCTATGTTCAGCTGAATTCTTGTAAAGAATCTAACTGTTAGCAACGGTTAGATCTAGTGAATGGTAAAATATTCTAAAATACCATTTTGTACTCCTTAGAATTATTTTATTCCGTCTGTTCCCACAAGCCTGTGACTCATATTCCTAGGAATAATTCTAGCCAATCTCACCACAACATTTGCAGTTGCTCTGAGGTCAGGTTCAAAAGCAGGTCTCGTTTTTTGATCATTCTCTTGTCCTGTATATAATTCTATACGACACGCATATCCAAAACTACTGCATAAGACAAAAAATTTAAAACATCATTTATGTGGCTTGTTTGGTAGATACTGCTTTATGTAATGCCTAGCTTTGGTAGAACAAATTTACTCATCGACGCATTCGATCATTATCATCTTCATCAAACGCATCTTTTCTATCCCAAAGCCTATCTATTATATCGGTAAGTTCATTGTCAGTCTTTCAGCTTTTTGTTCTAATGGAATTCCGTTTGTTTATGCTTCATTGAGGTGGTCAATTATTGGTCCAATTGTATGAACTCTATTGTAGTTTGGATTGTCACAGGATAAGGCATTCTCGTTACTATTGAAATTTAAAAATATGCCTGATTTTTCGTACCTGTTAACTGACATAGCACTTTTTATTTTCTCAAAGCCAATTTCTTCTGACCAATATGCCCTTGTGTTGGGCAAATGAACAAGGGACATAATATATATATTGTAATTGAAATAAACTGCTTTATGTCACTTCGTGTAATATTCAGTGGTATGTTAGGATTCTGCGGTATGGCATATTAATTTGACTCCTCCACAATTTTGTCTAAAAGGCTATCTGTGAAAAATAAATTAAAATATTCATAGGGACTTTTTAGTTGTCGCATATAATTTGGAAGACTCTGATTTCCTCTTAATTTCAGTTGCTGTTCGGATAAGCTCAATTTTTTTTCTTTATATAATGTCTAAAAATAAAAAAAAACATCTTGTATTTTTGATAACAACTTCCTTGTCAGTCAGCGGCCTTTTATCTTTACAACTCATGATGTTTTATCTAAAAGATAAAATTTGTTGTTTGTAAACAACAAAAACAAAAAACATCATTATAAGACAAATATGCGCAGTACTGCATACCGCAGGAAATCATGCATTTGGCTTACCTTATTAATAACACTTCGGTGTATAAAATATATAATAGTATATTACATAACGAGAGTTGTAAGAAGCTTATTACATGCCCGTAAAAAAGTTGCGGGCGAGCCGCGTAGCGGCGAGCGCAGTAATTTTACAAGCATGTAATAAGCTTACAACTCAAGTTGTGTAGTATAATTTTTCTACGATTATTTTCGTTTATAAAAATAAATATTAAATTACCACTATATTTACACTGACAGATTAATCATTTTTAATCTGTCAGAATAACGTCTGTTAATTCGTTTCCATGGTAACTCGACCAACTGACTTACGAGGCGTATGTGATATTATAGGCAATGGATTTTGACAAAAGCTATGACCTTGTAAATAACACGTAAACTTGGGTGCTGTATCGGCATGACTCATAACTCTTGCCAAAATCCATTACCTCTACACATTTTTATAAAACTGAAGCGTAATTTTTTTTATTACGTGCTAATCATTACGTGTCAGTATCTGTTATGATGCATTTAGTTAGCATCCAAATAGTAGGTAATATACAATTTACTAGTAAGAGAGTAGAAAACATATATTTACTCAAATTACTTCGGAAAAACTAACATAAAAAAATGAAGCACGTGTCAGTGTCGAATCGTGTAAACTACCTAACTAAGAAGACACAATACTGGTAACCAACACCATCTATGATTGTCTAGTCTACTTACGCTACTTAATACTGTATTGTTAGTGAACAACGTCATGCACAAACTGATTCATCTTTATCTGCTATTAAATAAATGTTTATTTTTAGTATGTTATTTTTAAACAACATGATGCAGTGAAGGGTTAAGTAAAAACATTTTTCAGCAGAGCAATTACAAATATTACCTCTGTATACCTACTGTACTTCTATTCTAAAAGGGCGTATTTATAAGACATCAAGACGTCAAGTATAAGACAACTTTAGGGAATGAGTATTTTAGTAAATCCACAAACCTCACTCACTTCCCCCCTTTCATTAACATATTAAAAACTGTTATAATCATGTTCTTGTGTATATTTTATAATTATATTGTAATAGTTTAAAGATTATTTGTAGTTATTTATTTTTATGATGTACGTCTATTTGGCTAATGATCAGCCTTTAAGTAAAAGACTTATCTCATAAATGTGAGCCTATCTTTCTTAAATGTTTTCTTAAAAAATACATCTACTAATTAGAAATTAATCTAAAACTTTTTATTATTGTAGTTTTATAAAATAATGCTTCTAATGTATTAAAAATATTGTTTTTTACCTTTTCACGGACTAAAACAATAAGGTAGTACCATTTCTCAAGGTTTAAAATACATTAAACACATTTATTTAGATGCATGATGAAATAATGAATTTATTTCTCTTTTAATTGAAATATATTTCAGTAACTTAAAAAAACCACCTCTTATAAGTACTTAGGACATGAGATACGCATAGGAAGAGATAATCAAAGCCGCTGCATAGGACTCACTTGGGTGGCATTCGGCAAGCTGAGCTATGTTCTTAAATCAGAACTGCCTATGTGTCTTAAAAGAAAAGTCTTTAATCAGTGCGTGTTGCCAGTACTTACATATGGTGCAGAGACATTAACACTAACCAAGAAAGTAAGAAATAAAATTTGTGTTACCCAAAGAGCCATGAAACGATCGATGTTAGGCATTTCTCGTAGAGATCGGATCACGAACAAGGAAATAAGACGGAGAACAGGAGTGACAGATGCCATAGAAATAATTATGACCCTTAAGTGGAACTGGGCGAAGCACATAGCTAGAATGTCGGATAACAGATGGACACAGCGAATAATACAGTGGAGACCGAGACAAGAAGCACATCGAAGAAGAGGTCATCCACCAACAAGATGGTCTGATGACATAAAACGGATCGACAGAAATTGGATGCAAACAGCACAAAACAGAAATAAATGGAAAATACTGAGGGAAACCTATATCCAGCAGTGGATAGATCCGGGTTAAATGGTGATGATGATGAACTTAAAATACTACAGAACTTTCTATACAAAATCAAAGAATGGTCTTTCAAAACAGGCTTCCTTATTAGTTGAAAAGAGGAATAATAAGACACATTACATAGTGTACAGCAAACGCAAAAATACCATTCTTGTTTCGTTAATATTTAACGGTCAAAATATATCTTATTTAGAGGAATCGAATTTTTTGAGCCTAACGTTTGATTACAAATCCACAAGGAATCTACGTTCCTGTAGTTGGCTGTATACCATAATTAAAAAAGTTATCAAAAATCCTTTGTAAAATATATATATATTAAGAACCCAAACGGGCTAAGTTAAACAGACAAAACGTTTTCGGAATTCATATTCCATCATCAGTGTCTAAGAGTACATGAATGTAGCCACTAAATATATGGGTAAAAACCCGTTAACAAATAATTGATTACATTTAGTTTACAAAATTTCTTAAAATGATTTAAGATGTTAAAGTTACCGTTGGATTAGGTAACATGGCGACATATGACTCCACGTTGAAGTTGCTAGTCTTAAGACGGTGTGTCTACGAAGACTGTATGTGTGAAACAGTAACACAGTATTTACAGTATTTACCACTGTAAAATATTATTATACATTTATTTAAATAAATAGTTTTGAGATATATCGCTGTCAGTCAGATGAACCAACATGTTCGAGCAGTTGTTTAGTTAATTTTTTACTAGGTCTACTACATTTAATTTTCATATTTCGATCTTCAGCCTGGGTATGTATTTCATTTATCATATCTATACGAGATGTAATATGTACGGTATAGTCTTTAGCAATGCTTAATGCATTGTTGCTACCGTAAGTGTTTTCTAACAGATCAGTGAATTGTTGACTATCGAGTGAGAACTTGGGATTGTGACTGTCAATAAAATTGGTTATCTTTTGGGGCAATCCTCGAAATTCTAATGAGGGTTTATCTTTCGACTTTTTTTTTGGAACTTTTGGAACAGGTGTTGGAAAGTAAGATATTGGGTTTAAGGAACTAGTAATATCTGGTGTATCTTCTGGGTTAGGTGTTGCAATTTCAGATAAATTTCGTTTGGAGGTCGTAGGTTTAGTTATCGGCGTTGTTTGAAATTCAAAAGAAGCGGGTATGTTGGGATTGGTCTCATTAAATGTAGGAGTAATTGGTGTTTGTTCACATATCATTTCAGGGTTAGTAGTATTTCATATAGACTCACCTACATTATTGCTGTCTAAGGAATGGTTTTAGAGAGAAACTTTGTTGTTGTGATCTAGTATATGAAGAAGTTGAAGTTTGGAGTTGAAGGCCGGAACATTGAGATGCAAAATGACCTGGTTGCTTGCACTTATAGCATAATGAATCTGTTGTAAGAAATATTCGATATTTTAAGTCATCATAATTAATTTCTAGTGTATCGGAAGTTTGGAAACTATCTTCTGGTTGAGATACACCTGCCTTAGAAAACTAAGTATGTGACTATACGCTGGATTGGTTGCTCCAATTCGTAAGAATGTAAGGGGTGACACTAGCTGTAATCCAATGATTTTTAACTCAGTTTCCAATAAATTATGTGGAATTTTGTGATTTACGTTAGATAGAACAAGTCTTTGTGACGAAGGAACTAGCTTTCGTACTGGTATTACTGTGTTATTAATCTTAATAGAATTATGTTCTTTTAAAAATTTGTCTACAGCTGATTTACTTGATAACTATACACAAACACGGTTGTTTGAAATTCTGGATGAAACAATTATGTTTTTTGGGTCTACAAGTAGTCCCAGTTCTAATAAATAATCTTGTAATTTGAGGCCCTCTATTGCAGAAAATATAATTGCCTGATCTTTGCCAGGAATAGTTGTTGGTGAGTGAATCAATGCTGTGGAGTATTTTTTAGTGTTTGATGAGTTCTCAGTCTTAATAATAACATTGCCGTTATTACTCTTCATTTTGGTCGTTTTCGATTTTTCGGTTTCATTAATTCGGCCAAGTACGGATCTGTTTTATTTAAAAGTTGACAAACAACCAGATTTTGATAATTGCTCTTTTTATTTTAACCAAATTGTTAGGTTAGTTAGGACAATATTTTATTCAGTTTATTATCATGCAATCAAACAAAATCAAAGTTTTCTTTACTCACGTATGATTTACTGCACTTAAACAATCACTATAATTACTTTAGTAATAATTTTAGCTTGTTAATTATCCGTTTTTACTAATAATATTTCAGATCTGTTTGTGAAACCAGTTGCTAGTAGCACGATCAGGTCAGAACTCTCTATAAACTTTTCTTGTTATTTTATTGGATTGCATCCTGATTAGATGCCCATACCAGTTCATTTGTCTCTTTGCTGTTGTGTTCATTATCGGTTCCTGGTTGACCATTTTCGTAATATTTTGCCATTTTGTCTTTCCAACTATCCTTTTTAGAGATCTGATCTCCATTGCATTTATCCTGCTCTTATGTATCGGTATCACTATTGTGTTATATACTTTTATTTCTGTTTCTAGTGCAAGTTCTCTTTTTCTCATTATTGGGGCTAACGCATAGTATAACTTGTTTGATTTCTTTGCTCTATTTGTTATTTCCCAGTTTATTTTTCCGTCATTAGTTTATATACTTCCCAGGTATTCGTAAGTTTTTACTATTTCCAATTCTGGGTTTTTACATTTTATCTTTATTTGATTTTCTTCCTTATCTCCTTTGCCTCTGATTATCATTATCTTACTTTTTTCCTCGTTTATCTACATTTTTAGTTCTTCAATTTGTTCTACCCATATATCCATTAGTTTCTGCATTTTATTCTCGGAATCTGCTATTAGTGCTATGTCGTCTGCATACATTAAGGACTATATTGTTACCGGTTGTAATCTGTGTTAACCTATTATTTTCTGTAGTTGAAGGGTTCTGACTCTTGTGTTTTTTATCAATTCGTTTATTACTATTATGAATAGCAAAGGGCTGAAACTATCTCCTTGTTTAATACCTCTCTTCCAATTAAATGCTTCCGATCTTTCCCCTGTTATTTGTACTCTTCCTTTTACCTCCTTGTAGGTACTTTCTATAATTTTTATCAATGCATTAGGTACATTTATTTTCCTCAAGCATTTCCCTATAATATGTCTTTCTATAGTGTCAAATGCTGCTCTTAGATCTATGAATGCTAATACTAGATTTTCCCCCGTATCCATGCTTCTGTCTATCAGGTTTCTAATGATTTATATTATATATATATATATATATATATATATATATATATATTATATATATATATATTGTCATTTGTCTGTCTTCCCGGTCTTCTTCTTCCAATGCCATTTCTACTTGTTGTCTTAGTCTCTTCTCTATTATTTTCGTAAAAATATTTTAAAACATACCGATGAAAGACATATTGCTCTATAGTTGTCGCAGTTTACATGTTCTCCCTTTTTGTATATTGGCACAATGATATTGTTCTGCCAGTCTTTAGGAATTGTTTGTTTTTCCCACGCCTCTTTTTATATATTTTCTGTAATCAGTTTATTCCTTCTTCTCCCATGTATTTTACCATTTCCGGTTCAATTTCATCATCTCGACGTGCCTTGCTAATTTTTATATTTGGTGATCCTTCTATTACTTCTTCTCTACTTATTTGCTCTAGCTCTGTGTTTTCTACGCCTTCATTGATTATATTGTCTTCCTTTATCACTTCAATATCAACTTTTTTCTCATAATATCCTTTTCATACCCAAGCTACTTGTTTTGGGCTTATTTTTATTTGGTATGAAGTATCTCTTACTACATTTATTTCCTTTCGTTTTCCTTGCCTTATGTGTCATATTGTCATCCAAAAGTTTCTATTGTTATATATTCTTCCTGAAGTTCTTCTCCAAATTCTTTCCATGTTTTTGCTTTTGTTTGTGTAACTGTTTTTTTACCAATTGTCCCTGCCTATACTATTTTTCTTTATCTTTTTCTAATCCCGTTTCGATGTATGTTTTCCATGCTATTTTCTTCTTTTTTATTTCTGTCTTTACTTCTTTAGTCCTACATCTTGTCCTTTTCAATTGTTTATTATAGTTTTTGATTCCACACACTTCAATTGCTGTTATCTTTAATACTTCACTGTATTAAAGGCACTCTATTTGTCTAAGTCTTTTGTTAGTTTCCTCCGTGTAAAATTCTCGCACACTTTCTATCTTCTTTCTATATTTCTTGTTATATTCCATGTAAATCCAAAAATATGAAATGGCCAATATGTTAGTTGATAATTAAAATTTAAATCATTTTAATAAAATTGGTTATGTATTCAGTTTTAGCCGTTCCAAACTATATGCTTATTAGACTCTTACAATGTATACACAAGATATACACGATTATAGTTATGTTATTACAACATTTCAATATCCTTTGATAGCTTACAAATACCGTGCATACTGCGATAAAGATATTAGAGCGACTTAAGCGGAATAATATACATGTACGTAATAATTAACGTTACTAATCGATATATTGCAGATGATTTTACTTTACGCTGTTGTGAAATTGTGGATAATTGAAATACTGCTCATGTTATTTAACCAATAAGATACAACGTTTGTAATCATTACAAACTTTGGGACAAAAATCTTCTCACGATAATTCGATTTTAGTGATTACCTGAATGCACCCTATAATCGGTTCACAATTTGTAGATAGCTTTTAGAGAACTGAAATACAGAGAGGATAAGTAATACGATATAATAGTAAAAACCAACCAGAAACTGACGGTTTAAGAAGTTTTGGACTAACCCACCTTGTATCTAAAGGAATACAATACAGCAGTCAACATTATATTCGGATTACGAAGGTATTTTGGTTACAGATGACCGACCAGTGTCGTAGAGTATATGATTGAAATATAAATTTGAACTAAATAAATATATTTTTTTAAATTGTACTTATGTAAATTGTATTTTTGTTTTATTAAAACTTATTTATTTTATTCAAAAATAAAAAGTTTCTTACCACTTGTAAAAGATACATTTATTTAATTAAGGGAAAAGGCGCCAAATTTCGCCTGGCAAAATTTTTAATGTGTTTTAAATATATCCATTATTTTCGAATCCAGAGAAAACTAATAAATATTTTCGTAAAATTTACACGCAGAATGAAAGATTACATTATTACTGAGGACAAAAAGTCCCTGAAAACTTCTACAATATTTATTTTAATATGTTATGTAACAGTGGTGAAAATAAAAAAAAAATATAGTATAATTTTTAATTGAAAATATTGTATGCAAAAGAAACTTTTATTTATTCTAATAAATATTTCATTCTGCCTTTAAATTTTTCAAAAATGCTTTTTAGTTTTCTCAGGATTAAAAAAAATGGATACATTTAAAACACATTGAAAATTTTGACACGCGACATTTTGCGCCTTTCTTACTTTAATACCTTACGATTACAACTACTATTACTTACCTTATATAATTACCATTAAAAAACTATTCAAATTCAAAATAAATAGGATCAACTTCGGAATCCAAGTCGTCTTGAGGGTTAATAATTAGCGGTTGTGTCTCTACGGTCGCATCAATTATGTTATCAAAATTCCATTTTTTGCTCTTCTTCTATTACATCTCTTACGGCATCTTTCCAGTTTTGTTCTGTAATATGTTGTAAAGACTCGTATATCAATTCACGTACAGCTTGTATTTTATATGACGTATTTTTTCTAGCCACATAACTTTTCATTTGTGTCCAAATAAGTTCAATTGGATTTATTTCGCAGTGGTAGGGTGGAAGTCTAAGGACTGTGATGTTTCATCTTTCAGCGGTTTTGTCAACCACGTATTTCTGGAAATTAGATTTGTGTTGCCGGGCAATTTTTAAAAGTTCTCCTTTTACCATTCCATCTTCGTAAGACAGATACTTATTCCACAGCCAGTCAAGAATAGCCTGTTTCTTCCACTCAGTCGTTGGAAGTCTTTCTACTAGTCGTGAATAATAAGGTGCATTATCTAATACTACAGTTGAATTTGGTGGTATGTGTTCAATCATCTGCTCAAAATACTCTTCGAAAACATCAGCTGTCATCTCCTTATGATAGTCTTTTGTGCTTTTGCACTGAAATTTCAACAAACCATGCTTAATAAATCCTTTTTCACTGCCAATTATGCCAAATACTGATTTTACCAGAAGGTGGGGAGATATCAGGAGACCA